CTGCTCCTGCTGCTCCCGCTGCTCCCACTGCTCCTGCTGCTCCTGCTGTTCCTGCTGCTCCCACTGCTCCCAGTGCTCCCAGTGCTCCCACTGCTCCCTGTGCTCCCACTGCTTCCATTGCTCCCACTGCTCCCAGTGCTCCCACTGCTCCCACTGCTCCCACTGCTCCCGCTGCTCCTGCTGCTCCCACTGCTCCCACTGCTCCCACTGCTCCCACTGCTCCCACTGCTCCCACTGCTCCCACTGCTCCCACTGCTCCCACTGCTCCCACTGCTCCCAGTGCTCCCACTGCTCCCGCTGCTCCCACTGCTCCCACTGCTCCCACTGCTCCCACTGCTCCCACTGCTCCCACTGCTCCCATTGCTCCCACTGCTCCACGCTCACTCCCTTTCCCCACCACCAGCCTGTTGCCTTGGCTTGTGGGGTGCCTTGGCTGGGCACCCTCCGGGCTGCTCCAGGCATCCGTGTGGTCACGCTTCCCCCAAGCCATGGGTCCCCTGCCAGCGCTTCCTTCCCCCTCCCTAATAAGAGCAAACACAGCCAGGGCAGAGCCCCCGAAACTCCCCCAGCGGCGGCTCCCCGGGCGCTCGTTTCCTCTCTGCTGCGTTCGTCTCGTTACGTCCTAATTCCCTAACGAAGGGCCATGAGAGAGGAAGTCTTGCGGAAGCCCGTCCTGGCAGCCGCCTTCCTGCTACCAGCCCGTGCTCCGGCTCCGGCAGGATGGGATTTCCTCGGGTTTGGACAAACCCTATTTCGTGTTTTTGGTCTGGCACAAACCACGCCGCTCTTCTGCCCCTCTCGCTCACTCAGGGCCCCCCTGTTCTCCTTCCCATTTGGTATTTATCCAGGTCACGAGCAAGGATGTCCCACACCCTCCTTGAAAATGGAAATGTTCCTCTTTTCCCATGCCACCGGTGTGCTGGGGATTTCCAGGCATCCCGAGCGCTCCATGTGTGCCTCCAGCTGAGTGGCTGCCACTGGTACCCATGCCCAGATGATGGGAGAGCTGGTGCTTTGGGATTTTCTTGGGACAACAGCTCAACAGCTGTTGTGTCCCTGTGGGTTTCTGAGCACAAATGGGAATATCCACCACCACCACTTCTCCTTAGCAATGCACTGATGCCCCTCATTGCCCATTTTTTATCACTGCTATGGAGGGACCCTCTCCCTTTTCCTTTTCTTCCATGTTTCAGGGAGTTTCTGTATCCTTCAGCTTCCCTCACTAACTCCTTCTATCCTCTGCAGACTCCTTTTCCACCCTCACTGCATCACAACAGCTGCCAGACCCCTGATAAACGGGACAGTGGTCCATGAGTGCGGCTGTGCGAGCCCTCGGGGCTGGAGCAAGGATGGAGGAATGGTCACTGCTGAGGATGGCCAGCCCAAACAACAGAGGTGCCACCACTTCTTCAGGATAAAACCCTTCCTCCACACGTGGATGCACAACCAGGGACTTTACTGGGGTTTTGTTTTGTTTTAGAGCCCCAGCAGTGACACAGGGGCAGAGCAGACAGAGCAGTGCCCACAGGTCCTGCTGCCACAGGACTGGGTTGTGCTGGCAGGGATGGATGCAGGTGGGAGCTGGTGTGATTGGACATGTGAATAAGGGTTGGAACAGCCTAGAGGCCTCCTTAGGCACCCTTTGGAGACATGGAGTGGGGAAACACCGGGGTGTCTGCTGCCTCACTGCCACCCTGTGATGCTGCCAGCCCAGGAGAGCTGGCAAAGCTCAGGAGAGCGCAGGAATTTGTCTCTGCACTCTTTCCTGAGGAAGTTTTGCTCCTGCCAAGGGGCGTTCATTCCAGAGGATTCCCTGAGGGGATGCTCACAGGTGGCTCATGGGGAAGATAGGCAGCTCACTCAGGGCTCCTCCAGGTAGGTGAAGACCAGCTCTGGAGCCCAGGAGCGATCACGAAGAGAGATGGGGCTTCTCCCGCCCCTTTTGTGCTCGCTGCCTTCCCGTGCGGGGCTCGGCCCCACCAGGTGAAGGCAGGAAGGCATCAGGCAGCACAGCAGGGCTGGTGGGAGTAGCATGGTGGGGGGCCCAGCTGGTGCGTGGGCCCACGGAGAGGCTGCACAGAGAGAGGAGAAATGGGAAAACGGCTTCTTCAAAGGCCCGGGTGCCACGGGAAGGCAGGAGCGGGGTGAGGCAGGGAGGGCAGAGCTCGAGGGGAGCCCCTGCCCTGAGCAGGAGGGGATGGAGAGTCAGTGTTGTGGCAGGGAGCCAGCAGGAGGAAGGCAGAGCCCGTGGGGTGGGTGAAGCACCAGTGGCTGAGCTGCACCAGTGACCACGGGCACTGCCAAAGGCACTGCTGGATCAGGAGCAGCATTGTCCCAGTTGTTCCCCACCAAACCCCACCACATCTTGGGCCCCTGAAGCCACCAACACACAGACCAAGCCCCTGCACCCCCTGCATCCCCCAGCCTGGGGGTGAGGTGCAGGAGGAACCTTTTCTCCTGGAGCCACCATCCTGCACTGCCCAGGGAGCTGCTGGCACCTGCCCAAGGCAGGGAAACCCGGGTGTCCCTCAGCACGGGGCGTCCAGCACTGAGGAGACAGCCAGCCTGCCTGGGGCATGGAAGCTCCCAGCATGGCTCCTCCAGTGTGTCACCACACCTGCCTTGCTCTGAGGGTTCCTCCATGGCTTTCTGCCCAGGTCATGTCCATGAACCACTTCTCAGGATGGGCAGCTGATGGAGTGGGGATCAAGACCGGACCATAAGCTGGAATTAACCAAAAGGTTAATCATTTCCATGAGGTGCAGGGAAAAATGAATCCTCTGACCATGGGAGAGAGCAGGAAAGGGCTGTGGAGGAACAGCAAGGGAGAAGGTGGCACCCTGAGAGGCGGTGGTGGGAGGTCAGAGGGGTGAAGGTACCACAAGGTGTGTTTAATTCCTGGAATGGCTTCAGCAAAGGACGCCCTGACAGCACAGCTCAGTTCCTCCCAGCTGTGCTTGTCTGCAAAACAGCCATCCCTGCTTCCCCAAAATACTTGGGAGGGCTGGAGTAGGCCAACTCCACCACCCTCATCGATGCTGCAGGGAGCCTATTTTAAGCCTTGCTAACGTAGGAGGATTAAATTTGGCTGGCTGAGACACGTCCTGCTCCCAGCTGTCCCCCAGCCTCCCCTGAGGTTGGCAGCTCTGCCGCAGGCACGCTCACGAGGCAGGAGGCTGCCCTGGACCTCCAGGGTCGGCTGCCCTGCACTAGAGGAACCCAAAATTGGGGCATCTCCTTGGATGCAGAGGCACTCAGCTCGGGCTGAGGGCAAAAACTCTTCCAGGCATTGGTGTCAACAGGTTGACCCACAGGGATGTGGTGGGAAGCACCATGGGATGAGCTCTGGTGGTGTGGATGGGTTTGGAGCGAGCCAGGGTCTCCAGCCCCATTCTCCCCTCTACAGGAGGAGCTGAGTGATGGGGGAGCCTTCTCCCCATCCTGCCATCTCCCTGCCATCTCCCTGCCTGCCAGGGATGTGTGCCCAGTGAGCCCCATCGAGACCCACAGCCCGATTTACCCCTTGGGGCTCACAGTCCTGTCCCCTGCCCTCGCTCCCGGCACTCCCACAGATCCCCATCAAGCTCATTGTTGTATTAATTGACAGAGCACTCATTGCTGGAGGTCCTGCGCAAGAACCTCATGGAAAATTGTTTGCTGCCTGCGTGGAATTCCCCGCCTGGTGCCAACACGGTGGATGTTTAGGCGAGTGTCACACCCGGCCATCAAGGGCTGCATCACCGGCACCGCTTTCAGCCCACACAGCCCGGGACAAACGTTTGGCCGGAGGAAATGAAGCAAGAGCTGATTTACACCTATCGGGATGGATCACCACTGACCTCCATCGCCGATTCCCGCTGCCACGGGGAGCATCACTCCGCTGCTCTTCCTCCCTTTGCTCATTTGGAAGACGGGGGTAATAATCCCCATCACCTATTTGCGAGGCTGTTGTGAATTTTCATGAGCTCCCATCTGAACGGGGCTTTGAGCAGGAAAACTGCTGTATCAGCTCTAGGCAATGATAAACAATACTCAGCATTTACATATTCAAAGCACTTTGATTAACTCTTGGGGTTTAAGGACTTGAGTCGATTCCCACCCGACCGTAATGGCAGCTGGACGGGGCGAGGGGCGGCGCCGGGGGAGAGCTGGGGGGAGAGCTGGGGGCTCACCCCGCCGGGCAGGGCCAGGAGCAGCCCCCGACAGAGTCACGCAAAGCGCCTCCTGCCTTAAATCCCTGCCTGGAACGGAGGAGAAATAAATCCGGCTGGTCCCCGCCCGCGGGAAGGGGCAGATCCCGCCATGCGGAGCGGGGAGCATCATCGCTTCTGCCGCAGAAGCTGTAACCAGGTGTTAAATAGCTGTGAAATGCTAACTTGATTCATGCAGGAGTTGCCAAATAAAGGAATTTTTCTTTTCCTTTAAGAAAAAATAAATTAGGGAAGGATGGGCCCACGCCTGCCCTGATGCACAGCGCCGTGACCTCCTCCCCAGACGCCTTCTAATTCCACGGGGGCAAAAAGCCGCGGAGAGCAAATCCAGAAGCACGATTTCGCATTTTATTCAGCAGGGTTTTTTTGTTTGTTTGTTTGTTTTCTTACCGAATCTTCACAATCTCCTGGATTTAAATGAGCCCCCCTCACCCCGCCCCTCCCCAGGGGATGCTGAGCCCCCCGGGGTTCCTGCTGCCCCAGGATCCTCCAGCATTATTATTGAAATCACTGTCAAACAAGAGCAAAACCTGGCGAAACTTTGGTGCCGCCCCTCACCCGGCGACTTCTGATGGGCCGGGGCTGCCTGCTCTGGGCAGGGGGTATCCGTGCAGAACTGCCAGCTCCAGGGCTAAAGCCCTTCCTGAGCGCTTCCGAGCCGCCCCGTCAGCTCCTTCTGCCATTAATTAAAGGCACTCTCGGAAAAAGTGGCTCTCCCTGCTCCAGCGTCGAGGGCCAGTCATCCCGCACCGCAGGATCCCGGCGTATCCCCCAGCCCGAGGCAGATGAGATGCTGCCGCCGTGTCCCCCGGTGTACACCCAGCACCGCGTCCCTGGCCCTGGAAATCCTGCGCTGGCTGGGAAAGATAAAGGGCAGGGACACGGGCATCCATCCATCCATCCATCCATCCATCCATCCATCCATCCATCCATCCATCCATCCATCCACCCCTGCGGGCGGCTGGGAGCGCCGAGCTGCGCTGCCCGCCACGCATGAGCACTGCGAGGCCGCCGCTCTGCTTCCCTACATTAAAAAAAGGTTTTCCTGCTGCTAGGAAGGAAACTTTGGGCACCGTCCCCTGTGCAGCAGCCCGGGAGCAGCAGCCGGAGCACAGCCCTGGCCAGCTCCGGATGCTGGGGGCTGCTGGGGATGCGGGGAGCGTGCGGGTGTGCGGGGCACAGCACAGCCCGTGTCCCAGCGCCGCTCCTGGAGCTCTTTGTAGCCAGGGCTGGGGACAGCCGGACGGAGCTGGCCGTGCAGCGGGAGCAGTGGGAAAGACAGATCCGGCTCCTGAACTTGCGGAGAGAGACCGCAAGCGACGTGTCCCAGCTGCTCCCGTCAGCACGAGGAAGGACCGGGGAGGGCGGAGGGCCGGCCCTGGGCTTGGGGTACGGGGCTGTCCCCGTCCCACGGGCTCCCAAGGACACGGGGACCGGGCAGCATCACCCGGCAAAACTCCCGGAGTCCCGCGCACCCACCGCGGCCCCCCAAGCGGCTCCTCCCGGTGCTGGCAGAACACCCCGGGGACGGGCTCCTGCCTTC